CCTTAATGACAGGGTGGACAACAAATGTCAGGGACACATGACAGATGTTCAATATTATTATGAAAATAGAATATACATGATACAAATGACTTTTTTTAATCAAATAACTCGTTGAGGACAATAAAACCATATCATTTTTTTTTAAATGTAGTATCATTTAACCACTTATTACACACACTGTAGTTAGCAGAGCAGTGTGTGGGACATGCCAAAATCACGTACATCCAATGAAAAAATTAGGTATAAAATGAAGGAAACACATTTCAAGAGACTTATCATTGTACTGATATGTGTTTAAATGTTTGGCCTTTTATAATAAGACCTCAGAGTTTCATTATTCTGTTACATTTTCATGATAACCGAATGATTCTGATGGGGACACCAAAGTTACTTTATAGTGATATTGACACAGCTATTTGACCGGGTTGTCCAACCAGGTTGTGATCCTTCAAGGTCCTGGATATCATTTCTGGTGGACAACCTTTTAAAACATTCCATGTCTGATTTCCCTAAAAACTTGGGTTTTGCCCCCTGGGTATCACTGAATCCTCATATCATACCTCTGTGTGTGGTTCAGATTTACTTTTGAATTGAGTTGTCTGTGCTTCAGTGAATGCTTCATTACTTGTGTACTAACAGATTAATTTAAAGACACATTAAATCTGTCTGCACTTTGTATATTTGTGGATAATATATATTTATTTGTATTCATTGTTGAATAAAGTTTAAATGATTGTATCACTCTCAAATTAGTCAGTTCACTGTGTATGTTTTTTAACTCCATAAAAACTTCCACATATTATCACAAATAAATATAATTTCAACATAAAACTGAAGAAAAAAAAACACAGAAAAAAGGTAGTTACAGTATGGCTTTATTACTGCAAGTATCAAAATCATGTGACATTCAAATGTTTCATAAACTTTCTTGGCATTACAAGTAGTGCATGTTTTACAGGATGTGTTGGTATAAGAAAATGAAATTCAACACAATATTGTATGTAATCCTGATGTCAAACATCTTATTTTCAAGGTATGTTGATCAGTTTGGTCTAATACTTCTTGAAAATCCTCTTTGCGTCCACGCCCTCGTAGTTGTAGCTCTGGTGAGAAAAGATCAGGTCAGATTCTGTTAATATATTTACTTTATAGTCTCTGCCTGAGTAATCAAGGGGTTGATTAATAATGAATTTCTGCATTTTAAGTCCTTATCCATAACATATAAGGGAATAGATATGACATATACATGTAGACATCAGATTCTGACAGGTATCCCTTCTGATCAAAGTGTTTGTTATATAATGTGGATTGTTGTCGTAGTTTGTATGCATAATATAAATTCACCACACCTGTATAAGTTCATCTCCTTGGACGATTCTGGTTGTTGTCAGTAGCTTTCCGTTGTCCTTCCTGTTGAAGACCCCCTTCAACATGTCTCCCTCCATGGTCCATGAACCCTGTGGAGTGAAACGTAAAGCTTATTTAAAAGGAATAGGTGTGAAAGAAGGTTGACAGTTTTATGACTGGCACTGTTTGCGGTCGTGAGTACGAATCAACAGGGCACAAAGGTTCCACAATGAAAGTCATAAGTCAAGCCTTGAGCTAACAAATGAACTCCAAGTGATCGAAATACCAACCTTATGTTATAGTATTAAGAACTCAACCGATGATTACACTTAATGACTAAAACGTACGTAATAGGAGCGAATTGGAGTCTTTTCCTCTAACAGTCAGTTACTATGTTAACTAAAGTGCTACGTATGATGTTAAAGGTGCATCCACTCTTTTTCTTACTGATAGTTCTGTTCCGTCGGCCAGGCTGTACTCGAAGGTGACCCCCAGGGTGAAGTCTATTTCCAGGGTGCGGAAGGCGCTGGTCTCCTTGACGTGAAACTTGTCTCCAGTCTGTTCGAGGGTTACCTTGAGGTTGTCGTGAGCAGCCAGCTTCCTCTTCACCATGTTAATTCCTATAAACAAACACATAGAAAATATGTTCAATGGGCTCTGAACAATCAGAGGAAGTTTGACAGGATTTAATTACTTTACAAGTAGTTCCTTTGATTGTGTATTATTTGTAGAGTGTAAGTCAAAAGGCAAACATGTTCAGTGAGACTTAAGCTCCAGTATTTGGCCATCTATTTGAGCAGTTAAGGACACACTTTAACAAATAACTTTTAAAGTGATTAAATAAAACACATGCATTGCTATCAGTTTGATAGTTTGACATTTTCACACAGAAACACAAATATCTTGATTAAATTAAAACATCATCAGTGCTTTCTTGACTGTTATACAATGCTTACATTATATCTCATAACACAGAGAGTTCATGTTCATCAGAATCAGAATACCTTTATTAGTCCCACAGAGGGGAAATGTATATTGTTACAGCAGAAAAAGAGCCACAGACAGCTTAATGTTACATATGTTACATGCATTCAAAATGACACTTTGTGAGTTTTTTTTTTTTTTAAACCAATGCATCAAATTTCACATATTTAAAATGATTTGCTTAAATTATATAGCATATAATCAGCTTGGTTTGATATAACTCACCCATTTTTTCCATGAATTTCTCATAGTCTTCATTGCGATCAATCTTCCAGTTGCCGTTGAAAGTCATGGTGGCTGTGAGGGTGAGCTGGACAAGTCTGCAGTAAGGAGTGTCGTACTCAAAGTTTGTCACTCCTTTTAAACCGAGCTCGCTTATCTCCTCATCTAATCTCAATGCTGATGTGTCTGTTTAAAGCTCAATTTTTTTAAAGGCAGTACCCACTGATTGGAAGATGCTTTTGTCCTTAACAGAACCATTAAATCAAACCATATGTCATTTCCCTTGTATATCTGTTTGCAAAGGGGGATGGTCATCAGTGCAGAAGTGCATAAACTAAGCATGCAACACTTAGAACTGAAATATATTTTTTAAATGTCACTTGAATACAATCATGTCTGTTTTGTGCTTCGCTGTACACCAAGCTGAGAGAAATCAAAAATACTAGTCAATCAAATTGAACCATATAGGAAGACAATTTTCCACAACTTTAAATGTGCTCTGATGTAATCTTTACAAACCTCTTATCACTCATCCAAGATAGTACTGCACTAAATGTAATTGCTTTGTACAAATACAGCGGTGATCAGTGAGGTAAGGTTGATAATACATTTCAAATCTTTGACCTTTCTTTGACTGCCAATACTCTATAAACGAGACCTTTGATATTCAAAGTGAATATTAAACAATTGTCATTAAGATACACTAAACTGAATATGATGTATTTATAGTCTTTTAGGTGAACATAAAGCAAATGCAAATATTTAAGGGTGTGTGTTTTTTTTAGTTTAGAAACATTATGTGAATGAACAGAATGAGTTTTTCTTCTCTTCAAATGTTAGAGTGGACAAACAGGAAGAATTAAAAAGCACTTCTTCAACACTGTAGTCAAGTCAATAAAACATGCGCAACATGGGGAGTATATTTCTTATCTCAGTCTCCACTAATCCTAATATTTCGCTCAAGAGACATTTGACTGACCTTTAATCCTGAATTAATCTTCCTCTTATCAAACTAAAGATCTTTACTGTGACTGCAATGATGCAATTGACACAAATTTGAGAACAACTTTATAAAGCCCTGTCAAAGCCAATCTTTAACAGAATTATCTCCCACAATGTTTTAACCTTGTTGTAGTGTGATTTGTAAAAGTACATATACCATAACCATAGGAAGGCGTGGAGCAGTGGATTAGTTCGTTGGTGTCTGGATCAGGGGAACACAGGTTCAAACCCCACTGCAGTCAGCATTTCGTTGTGTCCCTGGGCAAGAATCTTCACCCCAAATTGCTTCTGTGGGATTTGTCCACAGTACTGAGTATGTAAATTGCTTTGGATAAAAGCGTCTAACATGTAAAAACAGTTTTGGTATTCGCTGTATGACTACGAAAGCTCCTGCATTATTTGGATCTAACATTTGACAAATGTTGAATGTTTCTTTGGAGCACTGATCCACACAATAAGGTTTTTTGTTTAATATGGTTAGAAGGAAGCTTGTAATGGCAGCATACATTTATAATTTCTAGCTGAAAGATCTCTGCCTGTTTCATCGTTAATACCATGAGTGGTCATTGTCAACAGATTGTTGTTGAACTGGGAACATTACTCTGATTTAAGCATCATCACTACACTAAGTACAAGTAACCTATTTAAAGGATTCATTTAGGGATTTTGAAGGAAAAATACTCTTAAGGTTAATAAATAATTCAGGTTAGTTAACACCTCTGGAATTAAACTGTTTACCAGAATTGTATTTGAGGGAGTTAGGGGGGAGTAAACACAAGTTCCTCTCTGAAGAACCAGCACCTTACTGTGGTAAAAAGGTTTGTGTGCCCTGATGAACCTGGGGGCTGTGTTTTCTGGAACCTTGTGTTCCTGGTAGGGTCTTCCATGGCAAATTGGTCTCAGGCAAGGGGCCAGACTAAGATTGGTTCAAAAGACCTCATGAAAGAAAAAACAAGAAGTGAGGATACCCGGCCCGGAGGAAGCCCGGGGTCCCCTTCTGGAGCCAGGCCCAGAAGGAGGACTCGTCGGCGAGCGTCTGGTGGCCGGGTTTGCCACGGAGCACGGCCGGGCAGGGCCCGAAAAGGCAACGTGGGCAACACCTCCACTTCTCCGTCCCGCGGGCCCACCACCTACGGTAAACAGCGATGGGGTCGGGTGCGCTGCCAGAAGGGTGGCAGTGAAAGCAGAGGGTCTCGACGGACCAAACCCGGGCGACAGAAGCTGGCTTTGGGGACATGGAACGTCACCTCTCTGGGGGGGAAGGAGTCGGAGCTTGTGCAGGAGGTGGAGCGTTACCAGTTGGATCTGGTTGGGCTCACCTCTACACACAGCGTCGGCTCTGGAACCTTACTTCTGGATAGGGGTTGGACTCTATTCTTCTCCGGAGTTG